ACGTCTACGTGCCCGTCGACGTCGACATCGTTGCCGTTGTCAGCCGGTCGCGGAGGAGCGAGAGAGACCGTCGCGAAATGGCCGCCACAGACCGGCCCTCGGCCAGAGGGCGTCAATCGAGTCGGCGCGACACGTGCTTGGGCCGGTTCGGCCAGATTCGGCCGACAGCCTCGCTCGACGTCGCCGTCGCCGTCGCCGTCGCCGTCGCCGTCGTCTTCTGCGGCCTCGCGACGCCCTGCTCGGCCGGGCCACGAGACGCGCGCCGATTGGCCGTCGCGCCCGCCTACCTCGTCGCGCCGGGCCTCTTGCGCCGACCTGACTCGAGTCCCGCCGACGCCGCGCCCGCACTCCAGGCCCTCCAGGCGCTGGGCTCGAGTCGCGCCAAGCGGCCCTCGTGGTCCACGGCCCATGCATACTCGCCGCCCCTGACGGAAGACGAGCTGACCAAAGTCGTCAACGACCTGGTACCGCCAGAGTGGGTCTCGCTCATGCGCTTCGGGCGCTGACCTCGAGCCCGCTGGCCGCCATAAACGCCGCACTTGGGCCAAAGTGAGTCTCGCCGCAGCACTACTTAAAGTAGTGCGAGAAGCGGCGTTTCTGCCGAGCCAGCGACCGTCTGATGCGAAAGCAGGCTCAGGCTTAAGCGTTTAAATCAATTTAGCATACTACTCACCCTATTGTCAGTAGTGCTTGTACAGGAAAATCAGGACGTTTTGTTCGTGATGGTGTGAAGCCAGTAGTCCTTAGTAGGGATAAAATGGGTTAATGTGAGAAATTGCTTTCTAGGCCTGAAAAAGAGAGCAGGAATATGTCTTCTTACTCGTCGTCTCGCCCCACTGACTTATGTCCGGTAGTTCGCTGGCGACGGCAGTGAAAAATTGGGTTTTGTAGGATTCATTACTGATTCTTTGTGACATGACCGTGCCCATTTCGAAGGAAAACTTGGTTGCAAGAAATGTGTCAAATGGTCTTGCTAGAAACCGAAAGAGGACTTGCGCGGACTGAAGACTGATGGATTGTGAGAAGAAGCTATCGGCTTCCGGTGAGGCCATTTTACGAATTCCTTCGAAACCGAAAGTCGCCGTTTTGGGAGGTTCTTGCTCCAACACCGTCGGTTCTCAGAATGTGTATCTTAAACCTTCTCTTTTCTGGAAGTAGGTTGACCTCGTTGTCGCAACTTGGTCTTATGTTCACGGAGACCATGTAGAACGCACCGAGTCAGAAGTCGTCTGTCTTGATTCCCAGCATCTGACCGTGGACTTGATACATTCTCAGACGTTTCGCCGGCCTCGTAGTCGGC